GAAGAGCTAATAGCTATGAAATTTTTTTTGCTATCTCAATCACTTTAAATAGAATCAATGTTGAAGTTTTCCACCTTTGTTAAATCTTATATCTTCCCTTGTAGATGAATCTCAAGATATACATTATCTGAAATTTCAAACTTAGTCTCTTTATTAAAATCAACGCATTTCTTCTAATTTTATTGTATTTAACATAGTAATTTTGTTTCGCAAAGAAAGAAAGTTGTTATCCTTACTTCATTATAATAGGAGATATAGAGTTGAATTTTATTAATGGAATAATACTATTTGCAAATTGCCGTCAAGGAAACTAAAGTTACCCACATAATGAAAGTAAGGAAACAATTCACAAATGGAAAACTAAAGAAGTTCCTAATACAAAGAATACCGAAGAATTAACTTATTCCTCTCTTCAAATAAAATCAAATGCTTACGAAGTTGCTCCTACAATAATGCTTTTCTATTGAAATTGGTTGTGTTTTGCATTAATCATATGGAATGAGCTTTCAAGGAAAATCAATAGTTAGTTTCTACGTATTAACACACAAATGTCTATCCTTGAGATGCATGTATGCTATGATAATTAAAAAATGGCATTCTATGTCTACAATAACTTCAATTATTTCTTTTACCGGATTGATCTTATATAACAAAGATTACTTGAAATAGTAATAATTAAGTAATAGTAAGCATGACTAATTTAAATAAATGCTGAAGAACTAATGAGCATTTGCAACCCCATTATATATGAAGAAGTTATCAACAACTTCCTTCTGACAATATTATATATTACCTATTGAAGTATCGTAATTCCCTGAACTTAAAGGGAAGGTTGTCATCAACCTAACTAATTTTATTGAGCCCTCTCTAGAGAATTTTCACTCTATACATAGATTCAGTTAGGCTAAGTAATAACTTAGCAATCTAAGGGTACAATTGATGGTTACTTTCATCAAGCGCATCATTTAATTTATATACTTGTTATGTCTTTAGCATGGAACAATGATTGAAATAATCTATGTATAGATTATAGCGCATGCAAGAGTTAACATTATAAAAAAGGAAATTAAACAAATTATTTATGTTATTTCAATGCTCATTTTGTAAATATTTCATATATGTAGCAACAATCATGCTAAGGAGAACTATACATATAGTATCTAATACATATAATAACTTACATACCCTAAGATAATTACTACTTAAAGGTAAGCATGATAATCCATGTAGTAAATACAAGTTAATTTTATAACAATTGGCAAGAGAAATACCCGTAACTTGGAAGGTTATGTTTATCGCTAGAAGGTAAAAATCACCGCTTCAAGGTGTGTACTTGAATCAATTGCTACCCTTAAGTCCACATAAATATCACTGGTAGAGGACCGACTGAAGGCTCTAGGTAAAAAACCCTAAATTGACTACGTATTTATAGTACACATATTAAAATACAATAGTGAATCAACTATGCCAAAATATGTAGAAATAGGGAAATTAAATTCTAAGCAAAATTTCATCACCAAATACCTGATTTTAGTGCTAACTTAGGTCGAGCCTTTTTGAATAAATACAAAGAAATTGAGTGGCATGTCTGTAAATCTTTTTTTACCAATATTGCTTGACTGGTTTTGGAATAGACGCTCTTATCTTCCAGTTTTACACTTACTTACAAGTACCATATCCAGTTCTTTGTCAACTGAACTGCATTGCTTTTATTGATATTTATGTTGTATATCTATTTTGTGTCTCAATACATACAAAAAAAAAGATGGATTTGTTAATATTAGTTAATGTGATGTCTTTTAGCAGCTTTACTTACAGATTACTCTTATTTAATAATGATATGTGTTCATTTGTGATAACTGAGAGCTCTATGGGGGTTAACATAGGTTATATACATTTTCTTAAGGCGCAGTAAAGAATATCATTTACAGGCTTGTTTTTATGGATTCACCATCTCATTACATCTTATGTTGTTTTCTATTTCAATTGTAGTTGGACCATGGCCGGCTTACTGGAAGTGTCAAGCAACAACTAGCAAAATTGTTTGAAGGATCGCTTAAAGTATTATTTCCTGAAGAATCAAATTTGGAGCCATTAATTGCTGTCTGCACTGCTAAATTTGGTGATTACCAATGGTTGGCCTTTTAACAGTTGCTCAACTTTATGGTGTAAAATACTATTTTTTAACCTATATGCTCGTTTTTTATACTAGTGGCCTGGTGGTATTTTTTTGCTTTATAATTCTCATATCATGACGTCATTCATAGTGAAAAATTGTTTTTTGAATGATGCAGTAATAATGCAATGGGCATTTTTTCTAAGATCAAAGGAAAATCAGCAGCATTTAAAAATCCGAATTCAGTTGGGCAGGTGCTATAAAATTTTCTCTAAGATCAAAGTTATAATTTCTGTGCTATTTGATCAAGATTCTCCATTATTTTTGCATTAAAAATGGTTGTTAAACTGTGCCTTTTGCAGGCCATTTCCAGACATTTACCTCCATCGGATATTATTGAGTCTACCTCTGTTGCAGGACCTGGGTTTGTGAACATTGTTTTATCTAGCAAATGGGTGGCTCAGGTTTGTTTTGAGGAATTGAAAAAATCTTTTACAAGTATCACATAAATCTCTACAACTTTCCATGATTAACTAAATTTTTAATGCAGAACATACAAAATATGCTCTTAAATGGTATTGATGCATGGGCGCCAATTTTGTCAGTTAAGAGAGCGGTGGTCGATTTCTCTTCTCCCAATATTGCCAAAGAAATGCATGTTGGCCACTTAAGATCTACAATTATTGGGGACACACTTTCTCGAATGTTGGAATTTTCAAATGTTGAGGTTTTTCGACGAAACCATGTTGGTGATTGGGGAACTCAGGTATTTACTTTTGTTGAACTGATATTTAGAAAATAGTATTTTGTTGCTTATGCTTTTATGATGAATTTAGAATGATGCCCATTCGTACTTACGTTGTCTTGGCAATTTCGTCAAATAGTTTAATCATAGGTAATAATATCCATTCGCTTGGTTCATTTTTACTCTAAAGGGTGGATGCATTTGTTTCTTTATAACCCATTAATTTAAATATATATGTAAAATCTATGAATATTATTTATAATTATCTTTCACCATTATTCTCATGGTTTCGTTTTCGTATATTTTGAGATTATCGCTTTTTTGTAATTGGTTTTGATCTCGTCTTTTTAATGTTACTCAGTGTCAATCTCTTCAGCATCTTAGGAACGTATATTCCATGCTTGTATTTCCATGTCATGTGATTGTCTCAAAAAACTTGTTACCAAATAGTGCTCCAAAAAGCTGTTGGGATCCTGGTTAAAATAAAGTCATTTTTTTAATTTTATTGTGCACTTCTAATCTTTTCTCTCAATGCGTAACTTTGTTGTAGCAATTTTGGTACTTAACAAGTGAGTATTCTGTAACCTTTGGATTATTAAATGAGGCATTCAACATTCTTTACAAAATGAATGAATGCTATTTTATCTTCTTGATTTGTCAGTTATCAGTAGAATATAATTTTTATAAATGTGAATGCTAATCTGTCAACTTATAGATTTTTATGGCCTTTTTTTTTGGAGTGCAACATGAATTATATGTGCGTGTTACTTGTCTTGATTAAACGATAATTTTAGCTTTGACCTTCCCTTATGACATGTATTTTTTCTAAATCATTTTTTTTTGTTTTTAAAGAATAGATTCATTTTTTGTACTCTTTTAATGTTTGCTGTTAAACCGTTTTGTAGTTTGGCATTCATTATTTATTTTTTTTATTGAATTTTCTTATATTGATCTTCCTTTTGAAGGGTCGAATGTTACACTTTTTTACTTTCTACAGTTTGGCATGTTGATTGAACATTTATTTGACAACTTTCCCAACTGGGAGGATGCTGAAGAACAAGCCATTGGAGATCTGCAGGTATGTTAAATTACATCTCTTTTTTAAAAGCTTTAGATTTCCAGTTTTGATTCCCCGTTCCACTGTTTTTTGATCTTAAACCGACATGAGAAAGGTTTGACATGGATAGAATAAATAGAGAATAGATTTATTAAATTGTCGAGGTGAAACTTATTAGTGATTGCTTGATTAATATTAATTCAATTATTAGTGAGCATGTTGTAAATGTAGTTAGTGGTTATGATCTTTAAGTTGAATTGCATAATAAATTGTACACATGATTGTGGGAATAATTGGATGAACTGTTAGGATTTATATCTGATTTAAATTACAATTATTGTTGGCCTTTACATAAGCTATTGTCTTGCAATAGCCAATAGAATTGTTTATGATAGTAGTCATATTGGTTATGTTATTGAAGATATAACTGCGATCGGAGAAGTAATGATATATGAGATGCTTAGAAACAAACATTTTTTAAAATAATTGATTCCACCTTAGTCATGGGATCAAGACAAATTCACACCACCTAGATAGGTATTTGTCTGGTTATTGAATTATATAATAAAATAAAAGATATGCGACTCAAATTTGATTGCTACAAATATAATAAAATGAGATGCTGCATTGCTATAAATTTTATAGAAAAATAAATAATTTTTGAATTCCCGGCTGAATTAAAATATTGAATATGACAATTTACACCATTAAATAATTGTAAAAGGTTTTCTTTTCAACCTAAATGAAGTCGTCTCGATTATTAGAAGTGAATGAGGGAGAACTGCTGTGTTAGAAACATAAAACACCTTATCCTTTATGAAACGTAAGCAGAATTGAGCCCTATAAACTCAAAGGCATCAGCTTCAGACATGGGACAAGCATGACAAAGAGCATTTCAGGACATCACGATTGATATCTTACCACTAGGACCACCACTGATCAGAAATGTTCAAATTACTCCGACTTCATATTAGGTTGGGCCGACTTTGGATTACTTTGGGAGACAATGCAACCGACAGTGTGATTCATGTGTTGCTAGGACGCCAAACAAAGAGCTAGAAGCTTCGATGAATGAATTCGAAGATTTCCCAACATGGAGAGACTGGCGCGGGGCTTTTTAAGGGGCTTCACTGGTTGAAAACGAAGGACCAATTTAGCTAAGATGGGAACGAGCCGACCGCCTCTTATATGGGGACTAGGATTGCCGCCCAAGGGAAGGGGCCTTCCCCTCCTAGTTTTCTATTATATATATTTGTTATTTTCTTTTTATGTTCAATTTTTATAGATTTTGTTGTTATGACAGTTGTCAGCATCCCCCTTTTCTCTTCTAAAGCTATCTCTCATGGTGAGAAGATGCTCCATATGTAATTCGTCTTGAGTTGGTGTGTATGTTTTATTTTTCTGCTTGTTGCCATTGCTCATACATCCCTCCTGTTGCCTTTTCGTCCTACTTTCTTCTCAGCCTTCCTACCACCAACCTTCCCTGCCTCAACCTCCACACAACCCAGTCCTCATCTTGTCAGCCATACCTGCCACATAGCAGCCCAACCCCCATGATGCCAGCCCTCCCTCCCGCAGTCTCCACACAACAACCCACCCATCATTTCGTCTACCTTTCCCTTGCACCCCTCCTTGTTGGAGCCTTCCAACACCGCCTCCATACTATTCCCACCTGCTGTTCAGCCACCCGACTATCACCACCTCACCACATCTAGCCTTTTTCTCTCCCTCAGCTACCCAACTCCACTGCCTTGAGACCTGCAACCCGCCTACGTCGTCGTCACTCGGAGGTGTCTTTGGTATTTTTGTTGTTAATTTTCTATTGTCAAGTGTCGTTGTTTGCAACTCATTGGAATTTTAGCAATATTATTACATTTTTATTGTGATTATGTTCTATTTATTTCAATAACACAATGGAAATGATGAGCTTCAAATAAGTCCCTGAAATCATGCTCTATTGATAAAGAAATCCAATGAAGGCAAAGTTGTTGCTCTTGTATGTTTGTGGCATGATAGTAAGAGGAGATGATTTTGAAAAAAATAAGAAAAGTTAATATTCAATAATCCAAGGATTTTGAAGTAAATGATGTGATAAAACTAAAATATTTCATTGGAATTGAAGTGGCCCACTCAAACTTTGGGATATTCATCTAAAAAATATATTATTTAATTTTAAGTACTCAAAATTTCCAAGTAATTTTCATCACACACTTAAAAAATTAGATAATGATCGAAAGATTGACAAATAGAGATATGAAAGATTAATCGGAGAAGTTTATCTATCTTGCCTACACAAGACCATAGATAGCATATGTTGCAAGATTTCTAAGCCAATGTATAATCAGGAAAAAACATTTCTTCATACATCATACAATATCTTTTAATATATCAAAGAAACACCAGTAAAAAATATTTTTTTTTCAAAAAAAGAATAAAAGAATTATGAGCTTGCATGTATAAATACCAACTAGACATGATCTATAAAAGAAAATGGTTGTAAAGTTAGGTTTGTTGTTCATTCATCCAACGGGTATTTATACATTAAAAGCTATCTAAAAAATAAATAAAAACCATGAAATATTAAGGAAAATATCAATTACAATAACTTAAAAATAAAAAAAAATTTGTCTAATTTTCTTGTATAGCTTATTCGATGTCTGTCCTTGTTGTCTTTCTATTTCAATCGTTTTGACCAATCTATAACTTTTCTCTTCTTTGCACACGGATTTGTGTCACATGCATTTTCTTGTTTAACACATGAATCCATAGCTCATTATCTTATTTATGCCAATTCCATCATTCCTTAGGTAGTCTCAACACTTGATGTCAAATTGAATGGTAGAGTTCCACTCTTTTGAGTTTGCTTATAATAGTCATAAATGTAGGATTACAAAGTTCATTGATAAATTTACTGATTAATTGGCTTTTTTTACATAAAAAGAATAAATTAACCCACTTTTTAATTTCTATTTTCATTAAAATTTTATCCACTTCTACATGTTTGATTTGATTATGTTGCACTGGATTAATAACAGTCTAAATGACATACTTGTTGTCATGGTATATCTTTACAAGTCTTTACCATTTAGTTTCAAAATTTTCTAATATAATTTTTCTTTATAGGAGTCCACATATATTTTTAAAGCGATTTCTTTGAATTTAAATTTTATACTTGAACTTGAAACATATTATTTCGTGCTTCTCAATTTTATTAGATTTTCTCTCAATAGTATACTATATTTTGAAGTGGATATTTTGTTCATTGTGATCTTGCATAATCAATATCAATATAACCTTCAATTTGTAGTGGGTAATATTTTTCTTACACATAATCTTATATTCAAGATTTGATTAGATACTCGAGAATAATATAAGCCGCTTGATTGTGAGATTTTTTTTGTTTGTGCATAAATGACTTGTGTAACTTCCTGCAACAATGATGCTACAACAAGTATTGGATAGATATATTAGTCTTGTAGCTAATCTTTCATATTGTCCGATGTTAACTTCTACTCCATTTGTGCCCAATTTTTTATCTAGTTTAGTTGGAGTTTCATGTGACATGCAATCGATTGTTGTGTTTCTCTAAAAAAATTCATAATATTTTTTTTATTGAGCCTCCCTCTTCTATACAAGGAAAATATTGATGCCCTAATCTGTCATGGTGGTCACAAAATATAACCCATCTTTTGCGAACCGATTATGATAGGAAATTAAATAGATGCTGTAATCTACAATGATGGTTCAATTGCATTGTAATTGACTGTTTTCTTTTAAGTAAATACAGTGTATCATTTTCTCTAATTTATCTAATCGCCTTCTACATAGTAAAGTCTTGAAATACGTAGTAATTATTGAAACAATTTCATATTAAAATTGTAGTATTTGATGAGTATATGTGATACCCGAGTTAACCCAAACGACAATAAGCACACAAATATTGTTATTGGAAAAATCAATAGGTAGTTATAACCAACACCCTGAAAGGGGGAACAATAATAACACGACACAAATTTGAAAGTGCAACAATTAATAACACTAGCTCAAACTAAGGTGGATCTTGGGGTGGTGGTGGTGATCAGCGAGGGTTTGGACCACCAGAGAGGTAGTAAAGGGCGGTTAGAAGGCTGGATGGTGGCGCAACGACAAGGGGGTGATGGTGGCAGCAAAGGGAAGGTGAGAAACTGTCAAAATAGCGAGAATGTGGGCTGTTCTGGGTGGTGGCAGCAACGACAAGGAGCTAGATGGTGGCCAAACAACAGGGGAAGTGCTATTGGACTGCGACAACAATGGAGGAGGGTGGTTACAACGATGTGGGGTGTGGTGGACTCCAGGACAGTGAAAAGATGATTGTTTGCGATGGCGGTTGTCGAGAAAAGTGGGAAATTGCAGGAAAGCAATGGTATATGGCTATTTGGGTGGCTGCAATTGGAAATGGGCGGCTGAGCGCGATGTGGGGAGGATGCAAAAGGGAAATAAGGAAGATACTCACCACATTGGGAGTGAGATACAACCGGAGCACTACCCAAACCTTTAGATACAATCCTCGAAGGGAAATTAGATGCCGACGACTGTCTCGATATAATACTAAAATAATTAAGAATCTAAACTCTAATTCAACACATATATAGGAAATGACTAGAAAGAAATGAATGACAAAATAAAACTTTCCAAAAAATATAAAGAAAAAAAAGAGGTCTGTTTGGTCTTATTGCAGTCGTGGAAGCTGCGGCTCATGTCTTGCAACAGGGCGTAGCGTCCGACGTTTGTTTCGCAGGATTGGAGGAGCTTCAAGCGTCTCCGTTGAAGCTTTTGTCCCCTCATAGTACACAGTATAGGAAATGACTAGAATGAATGAAAAAATAAAACTTTCCAAAAAATATAAAGAAAAAAAGAGGTCGGTTTGGTTTTACTGCAGTCGTGGAAGCTGCGGCTCATGTCTTGCAACAGGGCGTAGCGTCCGACGTTAGTTTCGCAAGATTGGAGGAGCTTTAAACTTCTCTGTTGAAGCTTTTGTCCCCTCATAGTAC